AAACAGACATACCCATCAGACATTTATACAGACATACCAATAAGACATTTATACAGACATACCAATAAGACATTTATACAGACATTTATACAGACATACCAATAAGACATTTATACAGACATACCAATAAGACATTTATACAGACATACCAATCAGACATTTATACAGACATACCCATCAGACATCTATACAGACATTTATACAGACATATCCATCAGACATTTATACAGACATACCCATCAGACATTTATACAGACATACCCATCAGACATTTATACAGACATACCAATCAGACATTTATACAGACATACCAATCAGACATTTATACAGACATACCAATCAGACATTTATACAGACATATCCATCAGACATTTATACAGACATACCAATAAGACATTTATACAGACATACCAATAAGACATTTATACAGACATACCTATGAAGACTTCCCCTGCACCCAAAATACCTTCAAGACTATCAATTTAATAGCTAACAACCTGCTAGACAAATTTGACAGAGAACAAGAAGTATGTAAGTGAGTACCTGTATGTGTTCCATGACATCTCTGTGCATCTCAATACCCATATGATAGACATCATGATCTGAATTATTATACATTATAGCATTTTGAAACATTAACATAATGTCTCGTTGGAATTCACTAGTTGTGCGGATACCTCCAGTTTCTATGTTTTTTTTAATGGTTGACAAATCCATGGGTCTGTACACAATGCTGTGGTAACCGGGTGCTAGTTCATCTGTGACTGGATGCAAGAAAACATTTGCATATCTGTGTATAAAAACATTTGGAAAATAAATTTATATCTAACCATTAGGTGAAATTATCTAAACATGGACGCTAACACCATTGCAGCATAGAGATACGAGATAGTAAAGCTGAAACCTTCCAGCCATTTTGAATTTGATCTACACTACTGTATTGCTTATGTGTGAAGGTTGGTGATTTAATCCCAATTCAAATGGTCGTAATTCTTGATTTCAAATCTGATCTGAAAAAAATGACATCACCAAGCACCATTTTGTTCAACGTGTGCACCAAGTTTGAACAACGTATGTCTAAACACAACCAAGATCCAGTTTTAGATTGGTATAAATACTTGATTTTCAGGATTTTAGATTGATGCCATTTAGCTATCTTGATCAGGATTGTGAAACAAATGCATATGTGTGACAAAATGTATAAAACATGTGTGAACTTGGAACGTGATTGATCGAGGCATGTCAGACATCTGGAATGGCATCATTAAATAGCCATCAGTCGTCCATTTTGAATCCAATTTGCAAAACAAAAGTGATCAAGGTCCCATAATGTCCAATGTGTGTATCAAGTTTTAATCAAAATTCGTCCATACAAAATGACTGAAATACATACATGATTTTTAAATAATTGTTAGCACTAAAATGGTCGCCATTTGGCCATTCTAGATTGGATCAAAAATAGGATGCACATGCACATGTATCCAAGATGTACTTTAATGTATTCTGTAGAAACACGCTTTCAATAACATATCATCTAACATTGCTTTTTCCCATTAATTTTGTAATTCTGACATTTCCGTAAGCCCATAAACTACTAATAGAGAGAATAGATTTTGTCTTTACTCACTTATGAGATGCTGTTGCCCTCCATACCATCATTATGGACTTCTTCCAGGCTTTTTGTGCTTGAATCGCTTCAGGATCGTCACTGTAAAACAACATACATAGTGACCGATTGTATCAGCAAACTGACTATTAGGTCGCTATCGTTAAATAATGGACAGTTTTGTGGCCCAAAGTCTGGTAAAAGTCTGAGCACACAGCAATGAGAACTCTTACCAGATCAAGATGACAAAAATGTCTATTATGTAACAATATCGAGTAGGAGTACTCTAATGAAGCATGTTAAGTGTGCATAGAATATGCTTCTAACATAATCATAAGGACCACTGGCTGGAAACACAGGAAAGCTGTAAGTTGACTTTTACAATAATAATCAAGTTACGTAGATTTTTAGCTTACCCTTGTGAAAAAGATGCTGGACTGCTGGGCACTGAATCACTGTAGAATGAGAACTGTTGTGGTGGTTTAGTGGATGCAGCAGTGGAACTCCCCTCATCTCCGCTATCACCACCAGCTCCTCCCACCTCATTACACTCTGACTCATCGGCTTCGCTTCTATCCTCCTCTTTCCTTCCATCGATACTACCTCCTTCACTTGTCTCATCTTTCTTAACTGGCTTCTCAGCGCTCTCATTCTCATTTTCATCTTCCTGCAATATAACCAAATCAATGTATGAATGTCATAATTAAATCTGCTAGCTATGTTCACACTGTATTCCATTATGACCAATAGCAATTGTCATGAACACAATCATAAGAAATGAACAAGTTTCCAATTGCGTATATTATTCTCCCTGGAATTAAATTTTTTTTAAGTGATTATATATTTAATCAAACAAAAACATGAGAGTGTACAAGTCTCAGAATTTCACCAATATTTCAATTTTATCTTTCAATTTTATTTAATGTCCCAAATTTGTGGTGTCACAAAACTGGTAAACTCAGACAACAAACAGACACTGAGGTACGTACAATTGATTCAGAACGAGGGGAGGGGCTATAGATTACAATATACCCATACCAACCTGCTTTTCTCTATTTCTAACCCTAGCACTCTGCCTACTTCCAGCTGTTCTAGCCTTAGCACCTCCGCGTCTCCTGGCAGATCGATTGTCTTCAGGTCGAGCTGATGATGTACTGCTACTTGGTGATGAAGGACCCTCTTTAAAAGAAACCTCATCATCTACATTAAGACTAACACTGGATTTGTTCTCAACAGGCTCAGCTTCTTTCACAGGGGTCTGTAAAGATTACAGTGAAATATTTCTGATTACATCAACTTGGCATGTAACCCCGGCATGTAAAAAAGAATCAAACGCAATGTGTTTGAGTGCTCTCGTAATCATTACGACTTTGAAAAAAAACAAAGAGACAAATTTATGCATGAATCTTTTCCCTGAAAAAAGGTAATTAACATTAATGAAAGAAAGAAACTCGGATACTGTATTAATTATGATAAACGCTGTTCTTTAAAACTTAGTTTAAAGACAGGGTTTGAACAGATACAGAACTGTACTACAGTAAAACCTGTGTTAGTGACCACCTTTATAACAAGACATTGCATTACGTAATCATAATGAGTTATCAAGTTAAAGAGATATACTAGTTTGAACAGGAAAGGTCAGGGCATTTAGAGATATGGCCCTGGAACAGCACTCAATAAATCAAATAGCCTACCGGTCAGACTTTTTTGGTTCGATCTGAAAAGTTTAAACAAAAACTATCAATACAAGTCTAAGACCAACTTCCGGAATAGCAGAAATGTGAATTGATAAATTTTTAACAATAAAATGGCCACCATTCAGCCATCTTGAATTGGATCATCATACGAACACATGTGACATGATGTATATAGAAAGTTTGATTATGAATGTTTAGGGTATGTCAGAGATTTGGTTCTCGAACAACATTGATTAAAGCAGAAGTCATTGAAATGACAGTCACCGCTGGTACTTTTCCAGAGTTATCTTAAATAGGCTAAACACCAGACACCCATAAGAAAAGAATGAACTATGTGTAAAA